AAAAAAAAAAAAAAAATTGGTAAAGTTGATTAACTACAAGCCATATTCAAATTCTTTTCCATTATGTGGTTTTTCTGTTCCAGGGTCCAATCCAGGATCCCACATTGTCTTTAGTTGTTATTTCTTCTAAATCTTCAGAAGTTAATCAACTAGTATTTTAAGTTAGACTTTTTATAAAAATGTTATTACATTAACATTATATATACCTAAAATAAAGGACCAATGGGAGGCTCACAGGTGGCATGGTGGTTAAGGGCGCTAGACTCCCACATAGTCGATCACGGTTTGAATCCTGGACCTGGCGGCTTGCTTTCTCACTTTCCCTCTCTCTCTCTCTCTCAATCTTTCTCTCTCCTTCTCTGTCCCTCTCTGGTCAAATAATACATAAATAAATGAGGTTGAATAAAATAATTCTTTTAAAAACATCTTAAAAATAAAGGACTGAGAAAAATGAAAATAAGAACAATTTGATATGGTGAGGTGGTGGACTTACAGTCCACTATAATAAACCATGTTCCTGATTATTAAAATCATGTGCCAACTCCTTTAATATTAGTAAAGAGGAAAGTAGCCCAACTAGTAATTACAGTTTCTATCTACTGAGTTCTTAAACTACCTTATTTATTACTCCAAATGACCCTGTGAATCTCTACTTCATTGACAAGGAAATGGGATCAGGGCAATGAAGTAACCGGCCAAGGTCACACAATGATAAATGAGGAATTCAAAGCCAGCTCTGCCTCCAAAGAGGCATTGCTCATAACCAATATTAAGACACCCTTCTTTATTCACAAATGCTTGATTTTTGGTGAAAAATGTATGATAGGATGTAATCACCGTATTAAATGACCTCTTGTGGGACACAGTTTGATAGTGAGCTCATTAGATGTAGAAATATTACTGAAACTTTATCACACTTACAATTCTAAATGCAAAATGAAAACAGCCAATACATTCTCTTGGGGTTTTTAGAAGTTGTCGAACCTCCAAGTGTCCATGCTCTCTCTGCTGGCTTAGTGTACAACTCAAAGGGATACACAAACAAGGTTTCTCTGAGTGAACCTTCCAGAAAGAAATTCAAATGGTCTTCAAAAAAATGTGCATTTCTATGGAATACACTTTATTTATTTATTTATTTTAGAGATACTTTTGCTACTGGGTGTGTGTGCTCGCTGGACAAACAAGGACAGTAAGTGAGAAATCACACCCATGGGGGGATGGCCACACCACAATCCCTTCTCCTCCATTCTCCTCTCAGGATTTCGGGCACTGACACTCATGCACACGTGCCTGGCATGTGTTTCAAGTCAACGAGTCCAGGACTCGAACCATGGTCAGCCACTTTGGAGTTAAGCACTATACCACCTTCGGGCCCCTGGAATACACTTTAAAATAACATCTTAGGGAAAAATAAATTACATACAAGATACAATGCATTATTAAAATACCCAATAATCCTGAAAAACTTGGCAAAATTCTTGTTACTTTGTAGCTCGCAGGCTAGTTTTGTCTCCACATTAGCTAGGGACACTAGATAAAACAGAACTCAAATGAGTCACCCAAGGTTACATGATAAATCTGCAGAAAATCTGGCTATGGAGTTGGGGACTGTGCATTCGGCATACTTAACATTAATCAGGAGTGCTCACTCTAAGTTTTCATAGTGTTCAAACTATTCTTATCCACGTAAAGCCTTCCAAGAACATTTTTAGTTCCTCTACCATGAAGGTTTTTTTTGTTAAGTGAGTTCCCACTGGCCATTTATAAACTAATCTTATGCTTAAAAAATAACATCAATGAATCAGGATGGTTGCCACATCCTTATTTCCTAAAAGACAAGGAATGATCCAAAATAAAATGTTCTTAAATCTAAATACAGGCCAGGGATCAGCAGTTAGCACAATGGCTATGTCGCTGAACTCCCATGTAGTCGACCGCAGTTGGAGCCACGAACCCCGCAGCTTAAACTCACGCCAGGCACGTGTGCGTGCGTGCCCAAGATCCCAAGAGGAGAATGGAGGAGAAGGGACTGAGGCATAGCCATCCCCCTGGGGGGTGATTTCTCGCTCTCTGTCTCTCTTTCTGGCGAGCGCAGGTGCCCTATAGCAAAAACCTCTAAAAAAAAAAATCTAAATACAGGTCAGAAACAGTATGTTTAATCAGAATAAGAAGTCGTTTCTGTACCTGTGTAAGAGTATAAAGTCTAACTATTAAGCAGTACTGATAAAGCAGTGTACCATAGACTATGATGAAAGAAGGAAAAGCAGTTAAGCTTTTCTCATCGGGTATGAAGTACAACTGGGAGTACATATATAATATGTAGCAAAATAAATGGTAATTACAGGCTCTCACCAAAGCCTTTCTTAGCACCATTAAGGTTAAAGGGGGGAAAAAGTACTATCTTTAAGGATTAGGAGGACGACGGACGATGGAATCCTGTTAGACGCGGTGGTAAAAGGAGTGATCTCCACCTGCTCTAGTAGTTTTCCCCGTTTACACTCAGGACTTTAAAGGAAGTCGGCTTCACATTTAAAGTCCAAACCAAAATTTTACTCCCACCTTAACTTGTTTAACGTTTAAAGAAACACTTTCTTTTCTTACTCCGAAACAGAAATAGACCGCTCAGCCCTCCTACTTTAACGTGGGTGCGATAAGGGGTGGGGGCGGGGAGGCAGCGTTTCCGAGAGACCTTGGGAAAGCAGCTTCTCCGCCCCGACGCTGAAACAGAAAAGTCCAACACTCGCCTCGCTAACTTACAGGGCCCAGCCGCGTTCCCGTCGTCGGCCGCCAACGTCGCGGAAGCCCTCCGGCCGCTCGCTCTGCTCCACGACGCCGGGCTGCTCCCCGCGCGGCCCCGCGGCCGAACGTCGTCCAGGCCCCGCCCACGTGACGGCCACGGCGACAGCGACCTCCGGGAAGACGCCCGCGGAACGCTGGGACTGGTAGTCCCCGTGCCGCGCCCGGCCCTACTCCGCCCTCAACCTCGGCGGCCAGGGGTCAGCCAGCGCCGGGGGAGCCACGCCCGGGACCTCGGCTCGCCGCGGACGAGAACGCAGGCCCCTCTGCGAGGACGTCTGACGACGCGGACGTCACGGGCTGGAAGAACCGGGGGACCAACACGGCGACAGGCGCGACCGAATGGTAACGCACCGTCAGAACGGCTCGGGACCGGCCTTATCCTTACTAAGGAGGTCCCCCAGCGAGCAGCCCGATCTTAACCTCAGTCGGCCCGCGTGTCAAACGAGGAGCCACTCCACCTGTCCCCAAGTTGTCGGGAGTAAAGGAGACAACGGAAAAGAAGTGTGTCTGGCGGGCCGGCAGGTGGCATGGTGGTTAAGGGAGCCGGACTCCCACATGGCCCACTGCAGTTCAAGCCCTGAGCCTGGCAGCTTGCTTTCTTACTTTCCCCGTCTGTCTCTCGCTCTGTCCCTCTCCGGTCAAAATAAAAAAGAGAGTTAAATAAAATAATTCTTAAAAAAAAAAAGTGTGTCTGGGAGCAGCAGGTGGCCTGGTGGTTAAGGCGCTGGACACTCCCACGCGGCCAATCACAGTTCACGCCTTGGACCTGGTGGCTCACTTTCTCTCTCTCTCTCTCTCTCTCTCTCTCTCTGGTCAAATGAAAGTGAATGAATAAATAATTCAATCTCTCTCTCTGGTCAAATGAAAGTGAATGAAAAAATAATTTAAAAAAAAAAAGACCTATCTTTTTTTAAAAAAAAAAGAAAGGGTGTCTGCTAAATAACAGTAGAAAGTAGGTAAATCTGGGACCAGCAGTTGGCGTAATGGACTCCCACGTAGTCTAGTCTCTGACCTGGTGACTTAAACTCACACTGGGTGTGTGTGTGTGCACCCAGGATCCCGAGAAGAGAATGGAGGATGAAGGGGTTGCAGCGAGGATGGATTGTGGAGTGGCCATCCCCCCTGGAGGGTGATTTCTTGCTTTGTCTTTCTGGTGAGTGCAAGCACCCTATAGCAAAAACCTCTCCAAAAAAAAAATAAAAAAAAAGTTGATCATTAATTATTTTGGTAGGTTAATTTTATAAATGTCTAAATTGAGAGAGCAAACAGTTTACACAAGAACAAGATGGCTAGGGGCAAAGTCAAGCAAGTCTGAAGTTCCTGAACCACACCCGTTCAAGACAACACAAGAATCTACTCATATAAATATCCCTTCCCCTTTACAATTTTTCCCCTTACCACTTTTCGACAACACACTATTTACTTACATTTTGTGTCTGACTCCTGTCGTGGAATATTAATTCCAAAACGCAGAGTATTTTCTTTTCCTTCCCCCCACCCTTTCTATAGATTTGCCAAAGGGTGCACACACTCACCAGAGGCAGAGAAGGGAGGTGAGAAAACATACCCACGGAGGATGGTCACACACAATCCCTCCTCCGTTTCTCCCTTCCGAATTTCGGGCATGCATGTACACACACCATGCACTTAAGGAAGGGAGCCCAGGGCTCAAAAAGCAAGGTCAGCCTGTGGGATCCATCTGCCTTCACCACCACACTATGACTGGCCTGGGTATTTTCTTTTAATCTGTTTTGTTCACCACTGTATCACTAGCACCTGGAACAAGAACTGCCCAGTACATGGTGGAAGCTCAATTTTTTTTTTTTTTACAGGTGGACCTTTCCTTTTTTTTTTTTTTTTGGAGAGATTTTCACTATAGGGCGCGTGCACTCGCCAGACAGACAGGGAGAGACATAGAGACAGAAAGCGAGGAATCACCCCCCAGGGGGGATGGTCACGCCGCAATCCTTTCTCCTCCATTCTCCTCTCGGGATCTTGGGCACACACGCACACGCGCCCGGCGTGAGTTTTAAGCCACCGGGTCTGGGATGCGAACCGCGGTTGGCTACGTGGGGGAGTCCAGCGACATAGTCATTACGCTAACTGCTGGTTCCTGACCTTTCTTTCTTTTTAAGAATTCTTTTTATTTAACTTTATTTATTTAAATTTGACCAGAGAGGGACAAGAGAGAAAGTGAGAAAGCAAGCCACCAGGTCCAGGACACGAATCAAGGTTGGCCATGTGTAAGTCTAGCACCCTTAACCACAATGCCACCTGCCGGCCCTGGAAGCTCAACTATTTATCATATTAATGATTCCTCACATAACAGAATTTTTAGTGCCTTCAACTCTCTGTCATTCTTTTGGCAGGAGTCACAGGATTTGGGAGCACTTTTCTATGCTGTTAATAACTGACTGAGATATCTAACTAAACAAAAGTGGAAGAGTGTTACATTCCATTCACATCATTAAATTTTTTTGGAGAGGTTTTTGCTAGAGGGGGCGTGTGCTCGCCATAAAGACAGAGACAGAGAGACAGAAAGCGAAAAATCACACCCCCCCCGGGGGGGGGATCTTCTCCTCCATTCTTCTCTCAGGATCTTGGGCACACACGCACACACACCTGGTGAAAGTTTAAGCCACTGGTCTGGGACTTGAATAGCAGTTGACTACATGGGAGTCCAGCGACAAAGCCATTGCGCCAACTGCTGGTCCCCATTAAATTTTCTTAATTTCAGTATAGCATTTCCAGCTAGACGTTTTCTTTTCTTTCTTTCTTTTTTTTTTTTCCCTTTGGAGAGAGTTTTGCTATAGGGCATGTGTGCTTGCTGGAGAGACAGAGACAAACAGAGAAAAAGTGAGAAATCATCCCAGGGGTGGGAGTGGGGAGAATAGCTACATCTCAATCTCTTTTCTTCCATTCTCCTCTCGGGATTTTGGGCATGCAGGCATTCATACCCAGTGTGTTTTGAGCCACCAGGTCCAGGACTCAAACCATAGATGGCCATGTAGGTGTTCAGCACCTTAACCACAATACCACATGCTAGGCCCTATATTATGTCTTTAAGAATTGGGAATAAGTAGACTCAGCTACCATATCTTTAATTCACTTCCTCTTAAATATTTTAATCACCTTTTCCTTATTAAAATGAACAATGTTGCCCCTTTATACTAAGCCATAATCCCAAAGTTATTTCCCAATCCGATCAGAAAGTTGAATACTATGAAAATAACTAGATTTCTGCTTATCCTAAACAAAACCTACTGTACAAAAAATTATTTCAAATTAAGTGTCATTTGCCTTTGAAATCCAGTGTCTAGAGCACAGAATTTCTAGACCTAGGCCTAATAGCTAGGTATGTGAATTCATGTCAATCATTTAATCCAAATTACAAATTTTTTATCTGTCTTCCCTAACATGGCAAACTTCCTAGGGTAATGTTGTCTTCATCTTTGTTGTCACAGAATAGCTGTTTAATACATACATGAATCAATGAATACACTGTTCTAATTATTTCTTCTTACCTATGTTTCAATTCATCTAATACTTCTGTATTTCTTTATAATTTTATTAGCATAACAATTACATGTGATTTTTCAGTATGATGAATACTAAATGCAATTCATCATGATTAAATCAAGGTAATTAGTATACCCATCATCTCAACCATTTGAAGAAACATTGTTAGCCACACTGCCCCCTCTGTATTTCGTCAACACTAGACATTGTTCCTTCTATCTGCAGTTTTGTTTCCACTAATCAAAACCCCACTATTCTGTCTCCCCAGTCCTTTCATATTCCCCAAATTCCAAAGTAAAAATTTTTTAAATAATTATTTTATTTAACTTTATTCATTTATTTTGACTAGAGAGGAACAGAGTGAGCGTGAGAGAGAGAAAGTGAGAAAGCAAGCTGCCAGATCTGGGACTCAAACCGTGGTTGGCCATGGGGGAGTCCAGAGCCCTTAACCACCACACCACCTGCTGGTCCCTGAACTGTTTTTAACAGAGTTTAGCCCTCCTCTTGGTATTAGTAACCCAGCAAATCCCTTATAATATTGGCTATGAATCTACTATCTCTGTAATGTAAACCCTTCAGGGCCACCCTTGCAGTTTGGGAAACATCTACAATAGAAAATCTGGTTTGACAAGAGTTTAGCTTTACCTTGCTGCTAGTGTTGAAAGTTTGTTATTTGTAGGGTTGCTAGGTGTGGGAGGCAGTTATGGCAGACCTAGGATTATGTTTCAAGATTTGTTTGCTATAGGGCACGTGCACTCACCAAAGACGGAGAGAGACAGAGAGTGAACAGTCACTCCCCAGGGAGGATGGCCACATGGCAATCCTTTATCCAATCCTCCTTTCAAGATTTTGAGCACATACATACACATGAGGATGGCATGATTTTCAAGCCACTGGGTTAGGGTCTTGAACCACAGTTGGTCATGTGGAATCCTGTACCTTAACCACTATGTCCCATGCTGGCCCCCTTTTTTTTTTCTTTTAGGTTTTTGCTGTCAGGCACATGTACTTGTCAAAGCGAGGGAAAAGTGAGACATCACACTCCAGGGGAGTAAATCCCTTCTCTTCCATTCTCTCAGGATGTCGGGTACACACATGCTTGGTGTCATTTTCAAGCCATGGGGTCCAGAACTCAAAATGTTGTCAGCTATATGGGAATCCAGCACCTTAAGGACCACAAGATTATGGCCTCGAGATTATGTATCCTTTATGGGACCAGCAGATGGTGTAATGGTTGACCGCATTTGAGTCCCAGACCTGGTGGCTTAAACTTCACGCTGGGTGCCGGCCTAAGATCCTGACAGTATGGGGGTGAAAGGATTGTGGTGTGGCTGTTCCCCCTGGGGGGCGATTTCTCACTTTCTGTTTCTCTGGCAAGTGCATACACCTTATAGCAAAAATCTCTAAAAAAATAAAGATTATCCTTATTTATTTTTTTTAGAATCTTGCTATAGGGCACAGGCACTCACCAAAGTGAGACACAGAGAGAGCGAGACAGAGATAGAAAGAGAAGAAAAGAAAGGAAGCAAGCTGCCAGGTCTGGGACTCAAACCACGTCCAGCATCTTAACCAGCATGCCACCTGCTGACCCCAAGATTATGTACTCTTATAACCTAGATGAGAGTAAAAATCCTAAGCGAATATGTTTGTTAACATTAAAGTTACCATGCCTCCGATTTTTTTTTTTTTTGGAGAGATTTTCACTGTAGGGCGCGTGCGCTCACCAGACAGACAGAGAGAGACATAGAGACAGAAAGGGAGAACTCACCCCCCAGGGGGGATGGTCACGCCGCAATCCCTTCTCCTCCATTCTCCTCTCGGGATCTTGGGTACGCACGCACACACGCCCGGCGTGAGTTTTAAGCCACTGGGTCCGGGACACGAACCACGGTCAACTACGTGGGAGTCCAGCGACATAGTCATTACGCTAACTGCTGGTTCCCCCATGCCTCCGATTTTAAGATTCATTCATTCAAGAGGCACTCCTTTTAGTTTTAATTATAAAATAATACATACCAATTATTCGATACCATGTAGAGCCTCTCATCTTCTCAGATTGTTCCATAATACATAGAACCTCTCATCTTTTTTTAAAAAATACATCCCCTAGACCTAAGTTTTATATGCCTGTATCCAAGTTTCACAAGCTAGTACTTAAGTTTCTGTATAGTCACCTTTCTTGGTATGTTTTAAAGAGGCTCTTAATAAGTACACTAATGTTAATTACATAAATTAGTACATTAATATTGTAAAACATATCCTTTAACAATTACGTCATTAAGAAACTTTTACTATTGTGTTAATGAGTAATGTGACAGTCACCTTACAGAGGAAGCACTAAATAAAAAGATATTTATAAATATCAACAGTTTTCAGCATTTCGTTGGTGAAGAATGTTTTGTAAATTTTCTAAATATATCATCTAACTCAGGCTGATGAGAAAATCCTTTTCATTTGCCCTTAAAGGACTTAAAAACACAGTATCAGTCTTTCTTATTGCTCCTCTGATTTGCTTGGCTGTATTGTGTAAACTAATCCAGGCTCATCACAGGCTAAAACTCTAATGCATGCTATTTGGCCCTCTGTGGCCAGATTCATGGACTTTTATTGAAAACATACATCTCAGGTCTTCAAGTAACTGAAATTTGTGGCAAGTTTGAGCAGTAAGTTGCTCAAGAACATTCCAAGGTGATTATTTAAAATACTTGAAAGAATAAGCAACATCAAAATATTCTGATTCACTTTAACGAATATCCAAATTAGAATTTTTTAATCTATCCCCTGAAATTAATCATAGAAAGTCTTCCAAGACAAGTTGTATATCTGAAGGTAACATTAAACTTTCAGTAATTATTCAGACTTCACACTAAATCCGTTTGTGTCAACTTGATGAGATATTTGCACATTATCCCTATCTATAAATAGAGCACACAGAGGTGAAATAACTTTAAGCTTTCTTCTTAACTAAATGCAGGGATTCTAAGTCAAATGCAGTGTTACGGGTCGTGCGGAGTGAAAGTAAAAATGGATCACAACTTGAAATCAGTACCCCCTTTGATCAACGCAGCTTGTTCAATGCTCGCGGAGCATAACGCAGCACTGAGAGCTTCGCAACAGCGCTACGCGAATAGAACTTGCACAAGAAAGAACTGGAATTCGGTTGTATTGCTACGGATACATTTCGCAGACGGAGAGCCCCCCGTCCAGTGTGACTGTGGATACGACTGTGTACACGCTCAACAGGTGATTTAAAACTTAAAACCAGGCAACCACCTTCATTCGGAACTTGGAACTAAGAATGTGCGTCATGAAAAAGTGACACTTGCAAAGGTATTTTACTGATCATCACTCCTGCTAGGGACACTTGGAAAAGGCATGACCAAGGTAGCGGTTGAGTTACAAATAAATAAATAAATAAATAATAAAATAAAGGTTCCAGGAAAACTGCGCAGCACCCTGGAGGCGAGGACTGAAACACCCGGTCTTGTCCAACCCGGGTTTCGCATGTCCTTTCCAGGAGACGACAGGGCGGGCGTCTCCCGCGGGCGGGCAACGCCTGCGGCTGGACTTGGGACTGGAGCGCTGCCCTGCCAACCTCCCGTCGCCCCCACCTCTCCCTCCTCCAAGGCCCAGGACAACGACGTCCTCCTCCCCCTTCTCCTCTTTGGTGCCGCGAGCCAGGAGGCGGGAGTGACCCACAGCAGCTGACCCAGCCCAGGCACTGCCTCTTCCACAGCCCTCGGGACACATCATGGGCCCAGATGCAGGTTTGCGGCACAGCAGCGACGACGCAGGCGGCGGCCCCGGCGACTCTCAACTGCCTCCCTAACCACCGAGACCACCGCCCAACACCGCCGAGAAGCCATCGCCATCACCGGCCGCACAAAAAAAAAAACCCTACGGGAGGCACGGCGCCGGCTCGCCCCTCAAAATGGCGGCGGCGGCGGTGGTGCGCCTGCGTACGGAACTCCTCTGGCGCGCCAGGGCCGGCGGGAAGTGAGGTTTTCAGAAGAGCCGCCAGAAGTGTACGGCGATTTCGAGCCCCGGGTAGCCAAAGAAAGGTTCCCCGTGGGAAGACGAACCCAGCCACAAGAGTTCCGGCCCGATTCTGTGCAAGAGGAAGGGAGAGAAAGC